CGGCTAATTAGGGACCAAAAGTTAAAAGAGGACTATTTGGAGTATATGGACAGTATTATTGAGAATTGAGCAGAATGGGTCCCGGAGTGTGAGTTGTGTGTCGATGATGGTATGATAAATTATGTCCCACATATGTCGGGATTGATATTTGTTAAAATCACGACATTTCATTGTTGTATATATCTATAAACGGCCTGTGATCGGACGAGGAGAATGAATGAATTGTCTTATGCAGACGAGACGTAGTTGATGAGATAAGCTCGCCTCATTTGAATAGACGTTTTGTGCCTTTATTTTAGTCAAAACACTCTTATATTTTCAAGCAGTGAAGAACCGCAGAGATGACTTAGCGCCGCGCGATCCATTTTTTTTCTTCTTATCTGGGTCCGAGGTCCCAACTTGGTTGTTTTTTGATGGTAGCACTAGGCCTGCTCACGCTACAAGTAATACATTTTTTCAAATATAATAATTCATCATACAATGAGTGTAGAAAAAAGTTGCCCGATGTAAACTGAGAGGAAACGTATTTCCCTACCCACAACAACGTTACACCGCAGTTTCTGGTGTGTTTTTAAGTAATATCCGTGACGAAAGAATATAATTTTAAGCGACATTACAAAACCAAACACGACAATTTTAAAATAACTAAACGCTTTATATAGTTTCTTTGAAAAACTGATTCGAACGATAAACTCTCATTCTCAAATATATATTTAAAGGGAATACTGTAAACTCGCGATGTTTTAATCACTTTTTTCCGACTGCGGCCCGCGAGACCTCTTCAAAAGTTTTTGCGGCCCTTCAATCTGGCAATCTTGGACCACCCTGGTGTATATCACCATAAGAAACCAGATCAAATCAGAGTTGTCTTTGATTGTTCTGCTGTGTATGGAGGGGTGTCACTGAATGATTACCCATTGCAGGGTCCTGATTTTATGAATGGTATGTTGGACATTTTGTGCAAATTCAGAAAAGAGAATATTGCTCTCATGACTGATATAAAGGCTATGTTTCACCAATTTTATGTTAGCAAGCCCTATAGAAATCTTCTAAGATTTCTTTGGTGGGACAATGGGGACATAAAAAATGGAGGTGTACTAGAATATAGGCTTAAAGTCCATCTTTTCAGTTAAGTAAGTTGTCCCAGTTGTTCTAATTTTGGCCTCAACAGTGCTGGTGTTGATAGCCTTATTTTAAGAGATTCTGTTGCTGATGTTGTTTCACTTGTGCGAAACAGTGAACGTTTAGCTGGTTTGCAGATAACCCTCTTCTGGCATCATCACTTGGGTTGTAAGAGGATGAAACAGAATGCCAGGAATCTGCATTTGTATAATTATGTATGGTCTGAACACGATAGACAATATAAACATGAAACCTTTGAACTCAGTCTTTACATATCCCAAAACAATCATACTGTCCACCCAAAAATATTTAGTCACATCAATCTAGATTTTCTTCTGCGTCGCTCTTGCAAAGAATATATTTGTATAAATTCGGTATCGTATTATATCACTAATTTTTCTGCTGTGGTAATATAATTTCATTTTATACAATTTATGATCCCCAAACGATAAAAAACTCATTTTACAAAGCCAAGCAATAAATCAATTGTATCAGTATTGGTATTGTGTGGATTTCAACAAACAATTGGTTATGATTTGTGCAAGTGGAAATTAATTCAGGACTTAGAAAGAATACAAGGTGATAAAATATTATGGTGATGATGGGTTGTTCAAACTTTGCTAATGTTCATTCACTATCTTGTGCAATCGAAGTTCATAAAACCGTCATCATTTATAAATCATACCAAAACGTTTAACTTTAAAACTCTAAACGTTTAAAACAAAATACGAAATTGATCACTTTAGTTTCACTTTTGTCGCAAATCGCTCCGCATGTACCTATCCGTTGAATCGCGAAATTTGAAATTTCGACAATTCTTGCATACACGGGCAACCGTTTTATTCTATACGCTGTGGGACTGTTGCGAAACTAGTAGAGACAAAAGCGTAAAATAGTAAAACTGAAAATAATTAATGCACTATATATAATACTTGTCTGTTTGGTATCAGTATATAGAGAAAATTGTAGATCATAAAACCACTCCGATTATCACAAGAAAATGAAGTGATCAAATCGTTTTATTTTACGTATGTTTTTATGATTCAATTGAAAACTAAATTCTATTATTTATGTTGCGCATCTTCGAATGAATCTGAATTATTCTGCTGCAAAATCACGGTAGTTGTTTCAAGGCATATCTGGCCATGTTGCACTCGCAACAAGATTATTGTCTATCTATTTTCTTGAATAGATAATAAATTTAGATATCGTACGCGCAACAGATTAAAATTGGTATTTCCTTCACGAAAGTTAAAAATTGAACTTGAATACAAATCATTGGTTGATCGCAAATGCCCGTACTATACTACATTATATTATACATTTATGATGCAAGTATTGCCAAATGGTTTAATTTTATATTATTTCAATTGATATTTATAAAAAAGCCGTAAAATGTTGCGTGAAATATCGTGACCTATTGAACACCGTATGACTTAAATAAAAATGGGTACTCCTGAAGTATGCGCACCAAGATGTCGCACAACCTGAAACCTAATCTGGTACACAACTTGAGTTCAGGTTGTGCGCCATCTTGGTGCGCATACTTCAGGAGGTCTTGAAAATACAGGGAAGACGTAACAATAGAGGTAGACACTACTTGCTGCAATTCCTCGAGTTGCAGTTTATTTATCTTCTGAACCGGGTTTTGCGAGCATGAGTGATTTATGTAGTATGTCAAAGGATGAGCAGGAAAACATGAGAAATAAGAAATGACCTTTGGCATATATTCCATAGGCCTACATATCTACAAAAGACAAAAGACGTGAAGTACATATCAACAATCACAAAATCGAGATTGAATGAAGAAATTGTTTTCCTGTTAAGTGCGCCTTGAGTTTTCCTTCCTCCTAATTTGGCGTCGCACGAAGAAAGAGTTTGATAGGAAGAAGAGCTGACCCTTGACCTTCATTCCTCAGGCCTACATATTTACAAACTTTAAAAGAGACGAAAAAACACATGAACGAGCACAAAATTGAGTTCGAACGCAGAAATTGTTCACCTGTTAAGTGCGCCATAAGTTTTTTCCCTTACAATTTGTCGCCGAAGGAAAGGTTCGGGAACCGCTGCAATATGTGAATCTTTTCACAATGGAAAGTGACATACCCTATCAACCCGATCATATTCCGCTTCGTTTTGTTGGGCTTTCATATGCAGCGATTCGCAAATCCACAAATTACGATTCGTATAATTTGTCATTACGTCTAATATTGAATCGTATGAAATTTTTATTTAATTTAAAAATTAATGAGATCTTTGTTTGTAAGTGAAAAAGATTGTTGCAATAATAAACCTTGCAGTATCGTACATCTGACGTAGCTGTGCATGGATGGTGGTGCGTTTAATTCATATCCGCTCGTCTTTATATGATGATGCTCGGAAGGTCCAGGTTCCTCATCGGTTCTGCACTAGTTGATGTGAATAAAGTGCAAAACGTAACTTATATATGAATGTCATGCTTTTAATAGAGAAATAGCGTTCGTGTATTTATTTATGAATTATAAAACGCTTTTCTGTACATTGTGTGAGAAAGAAGTTCTTAGATTTGAACACAATAACCAGGTGCCTTCAAATAATGATAATTTTCTAAGTTTTAATTTGCCAGTGTCAACGAGTTCTGTAAGCTTCGAGCGGAGACTGAAAGTATGAAATCAATTTTGACAAATGTTTGTATACGTTATTTACAATATAATTATCTCGAGAATACAAAATCATAAATTTGAGCAATGAATAATTTCGAATCACTCACATATTCGCTCATCTTACCAAAAATGTGACAACGTGCCATACTTATTACTCCTGCGTCTTTATAAATACTACATCGCTTTTTGATTGCTATCTCTTGCTCTTTCGGTTTGTGAACCGAATAGTACGTTTTGACATTTTTTGTAGGAAAACAATTTATTTATTTATTTGAGCAATTGATAATGCAGTGTAAATTTCATTACATGGGTATGCATTATTGACTTCCGTATCGTATACGTTAATTTCGGCAATGCAGATATAACAATGACAATATCAAAACAGATAGGCCACGCATAAAAATACGATTTGATAACACTTTTATAGATCTGATTTGACAGAATAACGATTACAACACGCAAGATAGAAACATGTCAAAATTATAACGCTTTGTATCACTCCCACTCATTAAAACACATCCTGATTTAGGTTGAGATCATACAAGATAGTTGTATAGAATATAATTTCTGATCTGATTCAGCATTGGGTTTGTAATTCTAATATAAAATCATTGTTGAAATATGAACTTAAGTCGTCAGTTTTGTAGTGAGATTGCGCAGCATACTAGTAACAGATATTCAAAATAATTAAGGTGTTTCAGCTGAAAATACACGTTCACATACAGTAGGTAAAAAATTATCTCAGGATGGAAAGAGACACGATAAACTATGATAACCTTGTTCGTGAAAATTCAAGTCTAATCGTTTCATTATACGTGATAACAAACTTTCAACACAATTAAATGTAATAGTGCGATTATACTATGATTTAACAATAATATAACGATATAGTATGAGTTAGAATAGAAAAAAAAACGCTAAAGTTCAGCAATCCCGTCTCAGCGGCGGGTTTTATTGAATCTAAAACTAACTACTTTTGCGGTAAAATTTATCTAACAAAGAAAAGATCTATAATACCATGGATTAAAATCGAAGACCGGTTGAGTAAGAGCATTGTGGAAGAATTGGAAATACTAGTAAAATGAGGTCAAAGTTGTTTTTGCTTCTTTCACAAACTAACTTTTTCTTAACAATTCAAAAACCCGCATCAAATTTTGTTCAGTTGATTGCTTATTTTATATAATTTCCTCAAATCTTCATTATCAGTATATGTTTATATTTAAATACATGGATGGTTTAAAGATCAAGATCATCGTTATCATCTTTCCAATCATAATTATTTTCTTCCATATGCATTTTCATCATAGATTCGATGACTTGAGCGCGTTTGTTGACATCGTACACTCGTAAACGCAGATTATGCACTTGGTTTTTATCAGCTGCATCTCCCAATTTTCTTTTCCGCTAAAAAATAGTGCAACTCACCGTTAAAGCTGAAACAATATGCAATGCATTCGGGGCCCATGTCATCTTGTATTTAATACTTTCCTTCTTTGTAATTTTTCGCTAGATGGCGTTTGTGTATTCAATGGCGATTTCTAAACTTTTCTGTGGTAACACTGTTCCGGGTTTGGCCCTTGATTTTTAATGAATCAAACAACATTGGTCATTTATTGGTTTAATTAAGGCAAGTATAAGTTATCTTCCAAGCCTTTGTTGAACTAATTTTTTCAATATTAGTCCTGAATTTGTACTTGATTTAAAATTTTCAAAATGGTAATGATTCAAGTTCTCTCCAGATCAGATCATAGTAGCCCCTTACACACCAAAGGATTATTGTATGAACTTGTACTGAAGAAATTACGGAACGCTTTTTATCATTGAGGTTACAAGTTTGGGAGATTTATTATAAATACGTATCATGGAAAGTTGAATAATAGTTTGAATATAATTTACATGTGCATAGGAAACAACAAAGCTTGATTTCTTTGATTTCTCGTTACTTATGTCATCTGTGATTCTAAACTCTTTACTATCATCATGTTCAGAAGGTATTATTGTACAATTTTTACCTTCCTCGTATAACTTCGTATGTTTTTGAAGAAGCATAGTTTCAGTCTCTAACACCAGCTTTGCCTGAAAATTTATTAAACTGGTTTTGGGTTATGGAAATAAAGTTACATATATGTAATGTCTGGGCTTGGGAACAATTTATAAGGAGAAACCTTTTTGCGTGATTTGATCCAAGTCATTTTATGTAAAAAGGGACTCGATGATATGATTTTGTTTGCATTGGTTGAATATGAAGTTAATTGTTGTTGTGGTCAGAGATATCAAAATTATGAACACTTATGTAGCACTGATTACTGCATTAAACTTACGTGTTGGGCTCTTGATTTCATTTCTGCCTTATTCGTTATTGCTTTAATATCATCCACGGCTAATCCAACCTGGAAAATGGCATTTTGTGTTATTACAAAATAGCGTCATCGTACGCAGTCCATCTTTTGCAATAGACAAACTCAGGACACATGTATCATCGGAACGTGTTGAATTATAGTGCGTTTTGGATGTATGTTATTTCCGGTCTCAAAGCTGATTTTGTCGTATTATTAAATCGAATCTTATATCAGTAGCTGAACATACATTTTCTTCTGTTTTATGATATAAAAGAGATTTTAAGTCTTGAAATCATTGTTTCTTAGATGTCAAACACATGTAGTCGTATCTTTCAAATGAAACTTTCGGAATTTTTTTTTATAAGATTACAATAAAATATTTACTTACCAACATATTCATTACGATGATGCTCATGATTATTAAAGATGTAAGAAAAACCAAGTAAGATACTTTTTCGTAGTAAACCTGATAACGTAAAACAGTAATAAAAGAAATGCTGTTTCATTACCTTACATGTTTGGAATAATATTCGAATGTGGAAACAATTTTGTATACATCAACAATGGACTTTAAATTATGTGCATCTAATATTTGATTATGCATGAATTCAAGCTGAAACTTGATCTGTACCAACCTGATCGGTATACTCAGAGCTTGAGTGTTCCGCAGTGAAAATCGATTCATATTCGATTTCCCCAATCATCATAACAATTGTTTTCACAATCGAGTCCCATAAATTTCCAAAAGCAATCTGTCAACATAACCCTTTATTGCATGAAGTCAAGAATTTTGATATAAAAAAAAAATTGATAGAAGCAAGTATGAAATGCAGAAAAAAGATTGGACCTCCTGAAGTATGCTCACCAAGATGGCGCACAACCTGAACTCAGGTTGTGTACCAGGTTAGGTTTCAGGTTATGCGACATCTTGGTGCGCATACTTGGGGAGTACCAAAAGATTTTATTTGATTCATTTTTGCCCTCTACTCCAATAGGGAAGGGTAAATTTCGTTTGTGTCACATTTGACCCACCAAGCAAATATCTCAAATGCTTGTATTGCAAAATAAAACATCTTTATAGGCTGCGGCAATAAGAAGAACATGAAATAAACAACTTGAGATTTTAGTCAACTACGAGTACTTCTGGGTATTTATTCTATCCTTATTTCAATATTGTACTTTGGTTATTATCATTCATTATAAAATACCTGGTTTTGGAAAAGCACGTGGAAACTGAATCCGAATGCACAGACAAAGACAATCCAAAACAACTGAAAACTTTAAAAATGTCTTGAGGATGTTTGTAAACATTACGACATAAATTCCAAGATCGAACTTTGGTATTGCTTCCACGAAACAACAACAAAACTATCCAAGAAAGAAAGATATCTATTGTCGCTAGTTTCCACTGCCATTCCTAAAAGTAAACAATATGTAAACTGAGTATTCAGTGGATCAAAAGTCAGTGGTATTCTCCTCTGCGTTCAGATAATACTGTTTATGAATCTTAGTTTCCAGAGGTATATTACTCCGAGTAGTCGTGTATTACATGGATATCTACGTACATAACTTTTATATATATATATAGGTAATGATTATAATGGTTTCTAATTGTAGAAATAAAATAATATAGCGAGTAATATTTTTTACCTCTAAAATTCCATATTTGCACGTAAAAGTTGTGAATGGAAAAACTGTGACTATCGAAGAACAAAACAAAAATAGTTCAATCCAGTTTGTTGCGTTCTTTATGTATTCAAGTTTTTCTTTGTACATTTGAAAAACCTACGTTGAGAAAATTCGAAAAATTTTAAAACGAATATTTTGTTCTCGTAATTAGTTGCGTAATAACCTATAGAGAGATCCAATTCGCTTCGGCCCTCTCCAGAACAATTTAGCAAATCAGACTTCATAAGGTTGACAATTGACGTTTAATTTTTCTGGTTGTATATGACGGCAGTTTGTATGGATAACACTAGCTTGTAACAGTCAAATTCAAACTTTGTACAATACCATCTTTCCACCCATTAGCAAAATTAGGGACCAATTAAACTTTTTCCTATTAGATTCATCCCCTTTCTTCGAGGAGCATTTGAACTTGTTAGCCAACTATTTTTAAATAATTTTTTATACTATTTCGTAATACAACACAGATTGATACTTGCCTCTTTCATTAGATTCAGAAAAGCAAAAAAAATTGATACGTATCCCACGAACAAACGATCATGCTTTGTAACGCAAGAATCACCCCATTTACTTTGAGCTTCAGGTATCATCTGTACACACGTGTTTCCAGTATCATTAGCTGTAATATCTGGTATAGAAAAGTTCAATAAGGTATGAATTAGAAGAATTTATTTCCTACTCGTTTCTTGGAAAACGCGTGTTAACGTGAAAATCTGCTTGCACAATACCAGCATACTCTTTCATGAGTTAGATTAATACAGCTACCCACCAATGGTCTGGAATAAAAATTTTATCGCTTCTAAGAATAATAAAGTAAAAATCCTTACTTATTGCGTACGGCGGTGGAGTTGTCATAATGAAAGTATTGAACGACGCCATGAAACATGCGTATAGAAGAAAGAGCAGCCAGAAGACAATTCTGAAGTTTTTTCCTTCCCATTTGTACTTCAATATTCGTTTCACAAGCGGATGGCACATAAGTTCACGTCTATTCGATTTCATTATTAACGTCAGACAATGATTTTTTATCTCATTCCTCTGCAAAGCAACATTTCAGTATTGAGTGTGGCATTGAAAAACCACGTGAATCTTCATGTAACTACGTTTCTCACACTTATCTCATACAGCTAACAGACTTCATTGCATGCTCACCTGAAGCCTATAATCTGCCGTATCATCAAGGTCTTCCAAAACGTTCACCATGTGATGCCGCTGATGAATCTATGACAAACAGGTTTGAATTTTAGGGATCAAAATGTGTATTTAAAAATTTAGCAGTGACGTTAAAATTATATTGAAATGGAAGATTACTTAAAGTTTGAGTGAATGAGTTTCCTAACTGTTCAGCATGACACTTTTTTCACGTATTAATCCTAACCCCCACCTGACTACACCATCTAAAAATTACATCATTACGACGTAACGGTGACGTAATAGAGCCCCTCGAACTATATGAACTGCCATCCAAGACGTGCAAACGAGCACCCGAAATCAAACAGTTATTTCTCTCGTTTTCTCGTCGCAACGATTCCGATAGGAGAGAGATCGATAACGTCAGTCAGTTCTTTATCGTCGTCGCCAATGCCATTTCGGACGATCGTACGTCTATTTGGCAAACTCTATGACGTGATTGTGATGTCGTAGTGACGTCATTTTTGGATGGCGTAGTCAGATTGGGGTTAGGATTGACATATCAAAAAATTGTTATGCTACGCCCACTAGAAGTACGTTAGGTACGAAACTACACGAGACCCGGGACAGGGGTGGTAGAGACTCTGCATATTCTGGCGTCTAGAATCATGATCATTTACCACCAGAAATCTTATTGGTGGAAATAAGACATTTAACAAGCCGGAAGTATGACAGGTTGTAACTAAAATAAGCTAGTTTGAATTAAAGCGAAGAACTTCCCATACAATTGTCAAATTTGACCTCGGTAAAAAGTTATCCAAAGTTTTTGTCAAGCGGTGTTCAAATATTTATTATCAGCACAACCAACCTGCGCGTGTCAATTTTCTGAATTCACTCATTTGCTACACGATCGGGATCTATTATAATTTTTGATCATTACCAACTCAAACATTTTATTTAAAAATTACCTCTTTTGTCGTGCCGTTAAGATTTTCTGTCCATTTTTCTGAAAGAGGGTATAAATGTTACATAAAATAATAAACTAAAACTTGAATTAAAAGTAGGATTGCACAAAAACAAAATTATTACTTGCTTAAAAAATATTTAAAAACTCTAATCTAGTAATATAAAATAATTGGATAATACGTTTTCTTGCTAAATTGCAGTATTCGTCAATCTGGTCCAATGATGTGTAATTTGCGTTTTCTGATCGTGAGAGTCATGCTTATATAATATTTACTTGGTCTCAAGCGCAGAAGTCAGTTTTGTATTTGGAAAAAATTAGTTTGGTATTTAAATTATCCGTAATAGTATTTTATTCATAATGACTCATGGCGATGCAGTCTCTTTCGATGTCATGGTGTAATTAAATAAATACCTTCGGTAATGCATTTGTCCATAACCTTTTCAGCAACTTCTGGTAGATTTCTTATAAGCCTGCGCATTGGTGTTTGCCGATTTTCTTTGTTGTCGGAAATGCGCGCTAAGTAAATAAATGAAACAACTTTTTAAAATTCTACTTTGTTTTTGCCGATATGATTTTTATATTTTCGTGAGGTTCTTTTCAAAAACAAAAAAGAGACAATTCTTCATTATAGCAAAATAACATAAGAATGAGTTAAAATTGTTGGTAATTTTGAAGATTGCTAGATAAGTCATTGAATTTTATAGGACAAATTATAGTGGCATATTGCTAGCGCGAATTATTCGAAAAAGCACAAATCATCTGTTCGTTTTCTAGATTGTGTGTTTCTAATCCCCATGTGTTAGTGTCGAACTGCCATAACTTCTGATCGATATTAAGGAATTGGAATAATTTTCGTCCGGTTCCGTAAAACTCTTTATATATTTCAACAGGTTTATACAAAATTATAAGAAATACGTATTCTGCTGAAAAATTTAAACAAGCGTAGCCGTATGTTATTTAAACAGAAGAATTTGAAATAAAACTTTGTTAAAATCAATTTAATATTAGTGCAAATGTATACGTTTCGCGGCTTTCAGAGCTTTCTTCCAGTCATCTGTTTCAATGATGTACATTGCACAATCTTGGCTATGGTTCTCCGCAGCAACATCCAATGCATTAAAAAGATTTTCCTCATCCAAATCTCCCACATCTGCGCCATTGCTGAAAATCAATCAGGTGGAAAGGAAGAATTAAATTACTGGCTGGCTTGATAATGAGATGATAACGTGAAAAAACTTGTTTTTGTTGTTACCTTGGTATTCTTTTTACAAACAAATAAAACGTCATTCGATATCGCTTATTATCGGGAATATTACAAAGATTCTACTGTTTAAATTTAAATATACTAACTCAAGTAACAGCTTGACCATATCAACATTGTCCTTCTCACAAGCTTTGTGTAAAGGCTTCCAAGTCCGATTTTCGTCTGATTTTATCATGGCTCCCGATTCGATCAGAAGTTCGGCACCTTTCTGTCTGTCATTTGCCGCGCAGCAATCTAGAGGCGTTAAATCGTCTTTGTTTCTATCAAAAATGTAACATATAAGATTTTAAATTCGTCAAATTTCAACCAACAATTTTGTCTTTATTATTCGCATGATCCTGAAGGCTGCACGCCATTTTGCTTCATTGTAAATTAATTTAAAATCAATTAAGATTGATGTTTTTCTGTGACAATACCTTGGTACCGACGTGATGTTGACTTTGTACATACTTACTCGGCGTAAAAATTAGCCCCCGATTGCAACAGTATTCGAACGCAAGTGGCTCTCTCTTCCAACGCCGCCAAATGGAGTGCTGTGTTTTCATTTTTATCAGTGTCATAAACTAATCTGTTATCTAAATCTAAAAGATATTTCACAATCTTCACGTGCCCGTTGATAACAGCCAGGTGGAACGGTGTCCTGAAATCTTTATTTTTCGAGCTTTTTGCAGAACCAAGTTGCTCCAAGAGAAACTTAACGTAAAGTAAAATACAAGTAAACAAAGTAAAATACAATGGCTGTTGTTATTCATTAAAAAGAATGGATTACTATTTGGTCACATTAATAATACATAAAAAAAAATAATAAACAATAAAATGAAATATGTTTGGTATATGCTGAAAAAACGTGACATGCAATTTTTATTGGTAAGTAATATTAGAAGTTTTGACATTATAGCTAATGTGTATATATATAATTATATTCATAGACCACTAAAAGATTAAGAGTGGTTTCATTAAACACACACTGTTCGCACAAAACTAAACATCTGTTTTAAAATCGTTGGTCATGTACGGAGTCAAATGTCAGAACTGGCCTGTATTTTGATAGTTCCATCTAAGCGCTAATTTTCTTACGTCATAAATCTTTACATATCGTCACGCTAATAACCGAATTGCGTAAGTCATTTTAGCAGTCTTGAGAAAAACGTAAAAAACTTTCTAATGATACTGTTATGCCATTGAGAGTCAATAATTTGCCATGGTTCAATTTTTTGATCGTAGCCGGATTTGAGTTAATTTGTATGACGCAGTTAAGTGACGTCACGATGGCGCACTGTGACTTAGGCAGAAATGTGTCTATGACTTGGTGATATACGCAATTTTGCAACGTCCTGAAAACTAAACATTCCAAAACGAATGTAATTCTCAGTATCTACAATGTTCAATTCCCAAAATAGCTAATCAGTTTCAATTACATTATTTTTTATGTTTAAAAATATATATTTCATCAATATAACACGTTCTGCACACCCACCAAAATAAGATTAAGATTAAATATAAAGAATAAAACAGCCAACCAAGGTGAATTGGATTGGACAGTGAATATCACAAGTGCACGATTTTCTATACTGTGGTATAAATTCAAATTAATACGCGCTAAGCTAGAATCCGAGATGCAAAAACTCGAAAATACTTCGCCGAGGTTATAGCGTGACGATATATGAACTTGATACTTTTCCAAAAAAAAATACTATTAGTTTTTCCATTTTTTAATTTCGTTCTATATCTATCTGTGACATCCAGGATGAAGAACTGTTTCAACCGCTAGATGCTAGACTAACGACTATGTTGACAATATACATGTAGCTCTTTGGACGTCAATTATTTAATAATTTTATGTTCTTGTTGTAGGCGCTCCTCACAGTTGTTATTGTAATATTGCTAAATAATTCAGTCAAGTTATTGTGATTCAGTGTTCCAGTTACTGCTTGACGACCCTTGAGGACACAACGTCAAGTAAGTTTATATATACATATGTTTTGTGTACTAAGTTTTACATGGTTTGTATTTGTTTTCCTGTCAGGCCTTGAAAGTGCCATCAGAGGTAATTTGTGTGTTTATTTATTATAACCGTTAGTGATGCCATATTTGGTCATTAGGTGATTATGTGACATAATAAAGATATTTAAAGTTTGTTTACAATAATATAGGCCTACTGATACGATACTGCCTCGATCTTGTTATTATTTGTGTATTTATTATTTTTATGTTATTTCAGAAAACCGTACTGTGCATCTGTTCGTACTGCTGTATTGTTGTTCGTACTATGTTGTTTGTTCGTACTGTGTATCTGTTCGTATTGTTTTACACTGTTTGCAACACATCACAAGAAAAGAAAACATCTTATGCTGATACAGTGATAGTACGCGTCTTTTTGGGAGTGCAACCTAGTCGTCAAGAGTATTGGTATTGGCCATCCGTACACCCTATGTGGGCAGAGTCCGCGCTCCACAATTAACATTTAATCAAGGCTCTGCGCCAACACTAACCTTTGCAAATGTGAAATAACCTTTCATTGCTGCAATGTGAAGTGGAGTGTTTCTGTTCTTATCCGGAATATTCACCATAGCAATGAGCTCTTTTTTCTTTCCACTTTCTTCTATCATCTGATTGAGCATATTGAAACAGTAAGCCTTTTATACATTATCACATATAGGAAGTCGTTATGTAGAAGAATAAAGTTACCTTTTCTAAAACTGCCAACTGGTTTTTTGTTGCACACACGTGTATAATAGTACTGCTATCCTTTGCTTGTACATTTATATCAACTTGTGCCGTATTCAACAAATAAACAGCAACGCGAGATTGTCCATACTTTGCTTATGTCAACAAAGCTGTGTATCCTTTACGAGTTATAGTTTCTTTTTCTGCGTTTCTGAATAAATAAGAACGAAGTATTCACAATATCACTGAAGATGATAAAAGTTAGCTCTCTCATTTATAAAGAAAATACATGGTGATTTCAAAAAAACGGAAACCATAAATTTGTCAATTACTTCTGTGAAAATGGAGTAAACCATTTTATTTTGTTAAAACTCCAACTTTCACAAATCGAGGGCGTGTTGCACAAAAGTTTTGTTCTCTCTAGCATATGTTCCCCTATCCGTTGCGTAAATTTGTCAAGTCTTCCCTCTGATTTTTGATAAATCGCACATTCTGCTGTATGGGCATGTCAATAGCAAAAATATTAATTAACTGGGTACAACACCTTTGAAGGAAATATCACCGAGACCGTATACCCATTGAAGTGCGCATCATGGGTCATTGCCACACATCATATAACTGGTCCGTATTGGTTTGATGACGAAAATTAGGCGGTGAGTATGAAACATTATGTGGTGGTGATGAGAACGCGTTTGACATCATTTGAACAAAGTAGAGAGATTGATTGAGTAGATTTGTAGTTTCAAGAAGACAGGCGATGCCCCACATATCAAATCGTGCCCTAGAATGACTGATAGAGCAATTTCAGAAAAGGCTGATCAGCAGGAATTGAGACGTCGATTAATTGGACTCGGGACACCTAAGATTTTTATCCGTGAGAGAATTTGAAGAACAACGTGTATCAGAACATTTCTTGAACAATTTGTCAACTCAAAACTACAATTATAAAAATAAAATTCTATAGAATAGTTCGTGTTTGTTAGTGACAATTTTGCGAAACGGATGAACGGTGGCTCTAGTACCCAGGAGGCGATTTTGAATATATATGATCCCATGACAGTATAACTTTTGCGCAAAAAGTCTTTGATTCCTGAAATTTCGAGTACAATCACACACAAACGTTAACAATACTCAAATAATTTTCTCCTTTATATAGAATTTATTGAAAAATTTATTGTTTTCGTTTTTTTGGGTCACATTGTAGCATAGAGTATAGACCATTGCGCCCCCTGCTTTTTCACAGTGCCAAGGATTAATGAGGAACCAACCGTAAACCAAATGTCCAAATCCAGGATTTTTATATTTCAGCTCATTTCAATTCTTCACGTGGAATTACGGTTTATTCAGATGAATGGTAGATTCTTTGTAACAAGAATGAAAAATGGAAAAGATGGAAAAGAAATGACGTTTTTGCTTTTACTAATTATTTAGTCTTACCATAATAATTTTACGAGGCCCATATATTCCATTGTCCACAAACTAAAAGTGTAAATACGCAAACCAAGAAATATAAATTTACTCTTCTGTTAATATAACAATTTGGAAATACATTAAAAAAAATAATAATTGAAATTTACAGGAAATCCAAATTATCATACTTTTCAATAAGATAGTCCACAATTTTCTCATGTCCATATTTCGCTGCTGTAATCAGTGGTGTTGCTCCACTCTCCCAAGTTTCATTTATTTCAGCACCGTTATCCACCAAAGCCTCGACTATCTCAATTTCTCCAACAACACATGCCAGATGTAACGGAGTCATTTCATTTTTTTGTTTTGCGTTTATTTTCAAATTTCCGTTTTCAATTTCTCTATCATCTGCCCAAGTAATAGGTAAATATATGAATCAATTTAATAGTAAACGTATAAATAAATTCATTTCTGGAAATATCTTGATACATTGGTTAACATTTAATACATTTATTTTACTATCATTGTGAAGTGTGGATAGATGCATGCAGACCAATCATTTAGTTTTGACAACTTACATTCCCTGCACTTTGTCGCCAAAATGCGGACAATTTCTTAATGCTTCCCATATACGGCATGGTGCAGAGGGGTTGCTTTATTTTTGTCTTTCTTCATAAGTAAAGCATCCATATCCTCGCCAGCATTTTCGAGTATTTTTTCAACGACCTAATGTACAATAAAATTAAATATGTCATTCAAAAGGTTTTGTCCAACACTTACACAAATATTATTCAAATAAAAACAGCTGAATATTTTTTTTCATACTTTGATTACGTTGATCCAGCCGACTTTTTTTGTGGTATTTAGCACATGACTGGCAAATATTGATGAGTATATGACAAGTATAGTTTTGAAAAATATAAAGTGTTGTACTAATGAAAGCTACTAAGTCTTACTTCAAAATGTCCCTCGGCAGCTGCAATGTGTAGGGCTGTCTGTTTCCAGCTGTTTTCCGTAAGAATCTGGTTTCTATATGACTCTAGCAATTTTTCTACTACTACAACTTTTCCATACATTGATGCGATATGCAGAGGCGTATTTCCTTGGTCGTCTTTTTCCTGAAAATATAACAAAGCATCAGGTTTTGTCGTATTTGGGATTTCATTTTTTAAACGGATTTTCAATTTCAATTGTTGCTTTGTATTTAATGACATCATATTTGTCTGTCCCATGTGGCCCGCTGTATCATTATCATTATCTAATATTGGTGATAACAAAAATAACATTTTGGTATTGTTTTGTCATAAACATAACCGGGAAGATATTCTAAAATCTGAAACATTGTCGCATCACATCATCGTTGAATTTATCAGTGACATGGATAACTTGAGACATTCAACAGGGTAATTGAGTGAATGGTGTGAATGGCCAGCCTGAACTGATATAAAAGTTAATTATTCAATTTCCGATACCCTTGAATGACCTAAAACTTTCACAAATTCATTTTATCCCTTTTTTCAGAGATATTCGTTAATAATATCTCAATAGACAACTAAATATCTGCCTAGCATCCTATTCCCCATCGCATTATCTTTTCGTAATCAGCGTAAACAGTCACACTAAAATTGGCACCTAGTGTCAAAAAATTTAGTGAATAACAAGTAATGTAACAATTTTACCCTGCTGTAGCCTACCTCGCATTTTCTAAATTAGTAATCGCTCAATCTGCAATGATTTGTAAGTCGCTTTGTAAATATGGATTCGAAAGGAAAGCTGACCAATTCAAATAATTTTTTTTTATCTGATATTGAAGAAAATAGTATTTGCTTGCGGAAAAAAATCCTCAATGCTTGATATGTCTGCAAATTGTGTCCGTGCCAAAAAAAGTATAATTTTAACGACATGTTATCGATGCTCGGGTGCGCTTCATTTATGGATGCACTTTCTTCTTCGTAAAGAGTTTGGAACTAATGTGGCCCGCAAACAACACAAAATTAATATTGTGGCCCCTGCGCCGACAACCTTGAACCACCCTGATCTAACTTGATTTTCCTAAACCCAAATAATTTCGATACCTCTCACAAAATATACTAACAAGTAAATTAGGATTTCTTCAATATTTAGCGCATGTATGTAATTTCGAAAGATCCTTTGTACACAGCTCCTGTCAAAAAACACCCCCTCTACCGTTCAAAAGAAAAAAATATTTGGACATTATCCAGTTAGAGTGAGGGCTAGGGATGCAGATTGCCCAAGAAATTGAAAATCGCAAGTCATTTCACACTCTAACCCTAAAACGGGATAATTAGTAATTTGTTTTTTTCAAATGTTGGGGAAAGGTTGTTTTTACAAATCTCCAATTTTTGCATTAGTGATGGGGATTAGTACAAAATATCCGTTTCGAATGAGTCTGAATGTTTCCTGCTCGGGCCTAAACTACTCTATTTCTCACAACTTCAATTTTAGTAGCACAGGAAATGGTTTTAATATAATTAAAACCTTGTTTTGAAACCGATACGACAAACTAGAACAAAGAAATCATTTCTCATTGCATGATGTTTCGCACTCGATTGAACGATTCCCATATATACGATTTATAAGTCATAACTCGACAAGTTTCCTATGTGCACGTTCCAGGACTTGTAAGACAATGGATTGGTATCTATGTTTCTGCTTATTATCTCGTCTAATGGAAGTTAAATTGAATCATGAAAACAAAAATTTAAAACACTTGCTGGAGCAACCCATATTCGAATAAATTTACTCGTATGCAAATTTCAAACGAATAGATAACGCTAAATCAATCTTGAAATCAATAATTAGTTTCAACCTTAATCCTGTCTACCCATTGTCGTTCACGATCAACACTTTCAATATCTCCTTTCATGCTTGCCCTGTGCAAATCTGTTATCTTGAATTTTTCCATGATGTCTGATGTGTTTCCGCAGTTTTCCCTAAATATTGAAATATCATATTTATGATCGAAATATATATTTAAGTACAAGTAAACGATAGGAAATATATTAAAAATAAGGAATATATACCAAAAGTAAACTGTAGTTTAAACTTCAAACCACTGGCAGTTAATGATTTCTTCCTGTCTATAGGCCAACTTCATACAAAGGCTCTAGTCGGGTTTTATTATTGGAGATCAAACCCAAGACTAAGCCTGGATACCAACATCAAACCGAAAAATTATTTATTCGAAGCTCTGAACTATAGGTTTGAAATTGATGTATATTTAGCCAACTAAATAGCGTTAAATTCTGATTCTTGTCTGTAATCTATTCCTCTAAACCAAGAGTTATCAGCATTTTCCCTTATACTCGAATAGAGAAGTATATTGGATTGATTAAAAATGTTTGTGATTTAATGTATATTAAAATATTATCAACATTGTTATATGTTGTTGAAAAAAGTTATGGACAATTTTTTTTCTGATTCTGAAACCCCATCCTATGTTGAATGCAATGTTTTAGGACGTTAAGAATACCAGAATAATTATGACTATACCTACCTCATCGATAATGCATCACGTTGGCTTTCGGGATCTCCATCGCCAACTCCAACTTTATTGAGAAAACTTCCCATTTTCGAACCTGAAAACTATTGCGGCAGAATCTGGTATTGTGCAGAGAGCAGAAAACTTTTAGGGAGACGAATTATATTTTATTTATTTTACGCCACACGCCACGGCGTAATAATTCTATTGAATAACAATTTAATGTGTGAAAATAATTCTATGAATCGTGTAACATAAATTACTGAACACAATC